TGCATGTGCAGCAGCCCTTTGTGATTTTGCATTCAGCCCTACCATTACAAGGGGCTTTTCCCCAGTTGCTTCCCAGTTTCATGTGCCCTGTTAACAGAAAGTAGGTCTGTATTACAGCCAGAGAACGTTTAAAAGATTCACAAAGGTTGAGGATCTCTCCTTTATTAGCACCCAAGATCAGGACTACGTGATTTCATCCTAACAGACTCTCCATAACCAAAATTGAGCTGGGGCCAGTCAACGTGTTTCATTGTAGGTGCCAGCCACATTCAGATATGTGGGCTGCTGAGGGGGAATGATTCGCACTCATCCCCTGCCCTCTGGAAGTTACCTAGGATTTCAACCTCTTGTCTCACTGAATTGGGTTTTATCAGCCAACTGTTTCTCTGAAAAGCTTCCAAACACAGCCAGGAGGACAATCAAAGGGCATTGCGTCTGGTGAGGAGGACCGGTGTTTGTGGCTGCTGTTGCAGCAGGTCCTGCAGGACTGGAGTAGACCGTCCTCTAACATGACCTGAAGGGATTTATTCAGCTCACAACTCACTTGCAGATGTCACAGACGGAAGCCGTCTTCCTGTGGGGAAAGTCCTGGGATCATAATTATAGAGGCTGAGAGTTTAGAAAAATGCATGTGAGGGACTGGCCTAGAGTGTAAAGGTCTTTGGACACCTCTTTATTTCTCTGTGTTGTGTTTTTCTCCCATTGAGGAGGGAGCCCGCCTTTGATAGCAGTCTTGCAGGATGTTGCACTGGGTTTTTAGTCCATCCCCCTGGCCGAACAGTCCCAGTAACTCAGTTGGCTTTACCTGGTGCTTGCCCCAGCATAGATGCCCCCCAGGAGCAGAAACAACAACTGGACTTTCTTATCCCTGTGAGGAGGAACCTGTGGGGTCCAAGGCTCCACTCTGCCGATACAAGCTCTGACCAGCGAAATGGCGGGTCCTTCTGAGCAGCTCCAAGAGTTCAGCTCCATTAACATCGAGAAAACAGTGGCTTAATTCAGCTCAAGCTGTAATTGTAGGAAGAGGCCAGGTCTGCTCCTCCATGGATATCACCATGACCTGAAACTGCTTCGCAGAGATGTCCAAGTAGTCCCAGGGCTGCTGGGGCAGAGGATGGAGCAGACCTCAAAGGACGTATGGTGTGGGGAGGCTGTTTCCATGCCTCATGTCAAACCATGCTGCTGCCGCTGTTCTGGCTCCGGGAGGATCCTCAGCTCTCGAGTGCCCTCGCGAGGGATCTGCAGAGCTCTCTTCTCAGACTGAGCATAACTGCACAGTCCAGCCAAAGCGGGGAGAGGCCAGTGGGAGGTCTGCTAATGACTTTGCCCCCTCTGTGTGCTGGGAACACGCAAGCTGTATCCTTTGAGCCTTTTCATTGCAGGCTCTTGGCTGAGGCCAAGCTCCTTTGTGCAATTCATCGTACGGCTGCTTCCCCTGGAGATGCGAAGGGAGGAAATGAAAAAAGTCTTAAGCTCCCAATATCTGCAAATCTCTCTTACAATGGAGGTTTTGTAGGCCTAAAAGTGACCCCGAGGGACCAGACCTGCGGCAGTGGAGCCTGACCATGTGTGGAGCTGCAGGAGGGTTACGCTGTGGATAAGCTCCCAGAGGTTAAAGCTCAACAGAAGAAATGTGGCTCAGCTGGGTTCACTACCTGTCTCTTTGCATCCTGCCTTCTTCCAGCTTTAGCCCATGCTGGTGGAAAGGGGTAAAAAGAGATGTGACATGATGTGCCTGTCGCAGGGATAGGGATGCTGCAGGCAGAGCAGCGTGGCATGCCAAGCCTGTGCAGTGCCAGCTGGGCCACTCACCTTTAAACACCGGGGATGACAAGTTTATGTCAGCTCACAAGGCAGCGGCATGCTCACATGTATAATCAGTGCTAATTTTGTGGTGGAGCAGTCCAGGCTGGCCTTGCAGAACTGGTTTTGCCCCTCAGCTGAGCTGCTATGTAATTTTCAAGGTAATTTTTAGGGTCCTTGAGCACCTTCTGGCAGCAAAACCTTCCCTGCAGAAGTACTGCTGCAGAAAGCGAGACTAAAAAAATAAAAGGGAGAGATAGTTGGGGAGGGGGGTGCATTGTTTAATAGGCCAAGTAGAATAAGAATAACTTTTTTTTTTTTTGTAGATGAGGAATTGAAAAAGAATTTAGTTTTAGCGTTGATGTAACAGCAGGCAACTGATAAGCTCCAGCCAAATGCATGGCCTTGCCATGCTTGGGCAATGTGTGTATGTGCAGGAAGACATGCTCCCACAGAGGTTACCAACTAGGTGCACAGGGGACAGCTGAAGGGAAGAGCTGCCCTTAGTGCAGGTGGATGTGGTGCCCAGGAGGAATAAATTCATTTACCTCAGATCGTACAGAGCTGGACCATGTCCTGCTCCATCCTAGTCTTATGCTGACCTGTCGCAGCCGTCAGAGAGCTGATGGGAAGGGGGAGCTTTAGTTCCTCCAGAGCTGCGGCGAGCGCACCTGCTCTCTCGGCTGTGCCCCATGTCCTCGGCGTCACCTGGTGGTGTCCACCAAGGACACAGGGTGGAGCATGTGCTCCAGCACCCTGCCCCGGGGAAGCACACGCCGGAGTGCAGCGTTTCTGAATTAACTCACAGTCTGGGAAGAAGGGAACTCAAATCCCTGGCTGGGAGAAACCAGCTGGAGGACCTTGCAGGGGGTCCTGCCGCCCCCCAGAAAGTGACCCCAGGGCCAGCCCCACCGGGGTGCGGGAGGAAGGTATGGTGTGGAAATGCTGCAGCTCAGCATGGTGGGTGGGAAGGTCGGCCTAGTGTCTCTCCCTTCTGGGGAAGCGCTGCTCAGCCACTGCAGGGACTCGCAGGAGGCTCTTGTTTGGTACATATTAAAGATCCTTTCTCTGAGCGGGCTGCAGATTTAGCCCCAAAGTTTACGGAGAGGTGCAGCCACTGCTGAGCAGCCTCTGGACTTGCCTGCCCTGGTTTCCCTGCCTCTCTTCAACAGCAGGCACCACTCCCACTCTCGGTTCAACCTGATTTTTGGAGCAGGTACAAGGATGATGATGTGATTTACCAACACAGATCATGGTGAGCAAATCATCTAGGGGAAAACCACCAATGCACCCTTCTGCCTGGAGACATTCTCGGAGCTCGTTCAGCTGCTCCCTTTGGACTTGCTTTTGAATTCGTGCAAGACTGAAAAAGCAGCCCGGTTTTGGCATCCAGCAATCACTGCACCTGATGACACCGGATTTTCATCTGAATCTTTGGGCTAGGACCAAATCTTGTCCTCTCGCATCAGACAGCAGGAGATGAGTGATGTTTACTTCTGGCAATCGATCACATGAACATCTATTTGAAAATAGATGCCAATGTTGTGAGTATTTAGGTTGCCAGGGCCTGGACAGGGACTGAAGAAAATTCAGAATAACAGGCTAAATCCTCTTTTTTTCAGCCCTCTCTCTGTTTAGGCCAGAGCTGAGCAAAATAATTCACCACAAACATAAAAATTTGTGCATGCTGAGGTGCTGTGACATTAGGGGGAACTGATCTGATCACGGGTGTTGAAATGAGAAATATATGCTTCCCGTATTTCTAAAATATTTCAGTTGCCAATGGATTTCAGTTTAATTATTATCATTAACTATTACGCAAACCTCAGTATGTTTCAGCCCGGGCTGAATTCAGCAGCTGTTTAGGGGTTTGTTTTTAGTTTTGCCTTAGTTGAAAAAGCTGCAAACATTTGCCCCAAACAACTGAGAAAAAGGTTGATTTGAGTTTTTCCAGAAAAAAGCAAATATTCACTTTGTTTGCACAACTACAGCCCTGACCTAAATAAAACTTCGTCCAATATGATGATCTCTTTGCTTAATGAACTGAAAATAGCTAGAAAAAAAAATATGGTAAGACTCCAGTCTCACTTTGAAGACTTTGCTGGTTTCTTTCACAATCATCTCATTTATTTTTAAATAGAAGTCTTGTCTCAGAAGCAAGCAGATTATTTTGTCTTTAAAAGGTCATAAAAATGTCTCTGTATTAGAACAGCTCGGGGGGGTGACACTTACAGTGATGTGCCCAAGCAGGGTGAAGTTGCCCTTGCATACATTGGCTATGCATTACAAACACGGTACATAAAACTGAGAGTGAGATAATGTTAAAATACAGATTTCCCTCAAGATATTGACATAACATGATTAATGCTCTGCCGGTTCTTACAGCAACACCCACACTGAACCATGCAGAGCAGAAAGTGTTTTCTGTTACCAAAGTAGTGTATAGCAATAAAAAGGAGGGAAGGGAGGAAGCAACCCGTATCTTGTACAAAACCATGCCCTGGGCTGCCCTGCTGATGCTGGGCTCTAGCCCAGTGTTTGTCACTGTTAAAACCCCTGTGGTCTTGTCTTCGTGACCCCAACCAACCAAAAAGTCTGTTCTTTGGTTAGAACACGAACAAATAACGCCCTCCTTTTCCTTCATTTTATCCCTTCCTCCAAGTTAATGGCCACAAATCTCCCGAAACAGGTTGTCATGGTTTAACCTCAGTTGGCAACTAAGCACCACGCAGCCGCTCGCTCACTCCCCCTCACCCGGTGGGATGGGGGAGAGAATTGGAAGAGTAAAAGTGAGAAAAACTTGTGGGTTGAGATAAAAACAGTTCAATAATTGAAATAAAATTATAATAATAATAATACACAAAGCAAGCGATGCACAATGCAATTGCTCACGACCCGCCGACCGATGCCCAGCCAGTCCCTGAGCAGCAGCCCCCCCGGCCAGCTTTCCCTAGTTTATGTACTGAGCATGACGTCACATGGTATGGAATGTCCCTCTGGCCAGTTTGGGTCAGCTGTCCTGGCTGTGCCCCCTCCCAGCTTCTTGTGCACCTCCAGCCTTCTCAGTCGGTAGAGCATGGAAAACTAAAAAGTCCTTGGCTAGTGTAAGCATTACCTAGAAACAACTAAAACATCGTGTGTAATCAACTTTGTTCTCATCCTAAATCCAAAACACAGCACTGTACCAGCTACTAGGAAGGAAATTAACTCTATCCCTGCCGAAACCAGGACACAGGTCAAGGCATGCGGCGGGAAGAAAGAAGAGACAGGCTGTGGTTTTAGGGTTCAGGGCTGTGCCTCAGCTGAGCCATTGGTGGGGCAGATCAGCAAGGCACTGTTGGCAGGTGACCCGGCCAACGCCAGGGTCCAGTTGCTGTAAGGAGCACTCAGATGCGCTGCTTGTAAAAACACCGTAGTGTTCTCAGTTTGTGTCTTGTTCAAATACAGAGCCTGGCTCTGCAAGGCCCCAGTCTGTGCTGCTTATATGGAAATAAGCCGTGCTCTGCTACAGCTGCTCCTTCTCCGGCAGGCAGCACTGTAGGCACAAGGGGCTGACACCTGGGGCTGACTGTTGGGTTATTATAAATGCTGTAACCTGCACCTACCCCCCAGATGTTCCCCAAGTTGGCTGCTCTGCCTCAGAGCGTCTGCAGAAACGCAGTGTGCAGGGGCACCACAGTGTTTCCAGGACTCGGATTTCTCTTCCTAGTATGCAGAAGAGGAGGCACAGTAAGAAACCGACCTGCTTTGTTGAGGATTTTTAGCATTAACGCCAGAGATTTTGTCTTTACCAGCTAACCCCACCTCTGCTCCTAGTTGCTTTAGCATATGCCAGAGCACCAGCTGCCTGGCAGGGAGGCAAATGTATCTTTGGAGGGCAAGGACCTGACGTGCTACCCTACATGGTTTGAAATAAATACCAATGTTAACATCTACATTCATCAATAGAAGTTAGCTGGGGAGAGGCAGGCAGATGGCTTCCTGCCCTACACACAGATCAGAGATCCTGGTGAAGAGCAATCTGTTGTGTAGGACCAAAGCTGATGCATCAGCCCAAAGAATAGTCATTGCCTTGTGGTGGCAAAGGGATCAAGAGTTTTAAAAGTTTACTTTTTTAAAGAGGTAGCATTAAGTTAAACTGTATTACTCATTCTTTCACCTGTGCAATCCCTTGAGGCTTCACACTATCGCAGCAACAGTAAGGTGGTTTCTGTTTCATTGCTCTCTCTCTTCGGAGCTTATTCTCTGGCATACGGGATCCCCTCATGGGATCCCCCACCTTTAGTGTAGTGTTTAAGTGCTGACAACCTGAAATTTCTTGTAGTTGATGTTTAGGGGATTTCTGAATTGCAGGTTTGTTTGAACATCCTATATTTAGGATCTGGTCTTTGCTGGGTGTCATTCAGTCTGTGCAAGTGGGACTCTATCAGGACTGGCTAGTCAAACCCTTGACTAGCAAACTGGTTTTCTTTTTGAAGCATGCCTTCAAAATATTGGGCTTTGGGGATTTTGACCTTCCTGTGTTCCAGCAGCCCTCTGCAAAGAGAGAGAAACCTTCTAGATAAAGTACATTGTGAGATTGATGTACATGACAGTAGCAAACTCAGGGGCAGGAAGAAATGAAAGAGCTACTGAATTGCAGTTTCTTTCTGGCATAATAGTGTACATTATTTGTATATTTCCTGGTAGAAACGCTATCTGCAAAGTCCTGTTTTCCCTCCTGCCTCCCCACACAGTGGTGTTCTGTGCAATTAGCAGTCTAAAATCCACTCTTCCCATCTGCCAGAAGGATGTGTGTGATCTATCTCCTCCAGGACTCAGCTGGCCAAATGGCCTGGATCAACTTGTACCTGTCCAACTCTTCCCAGGAAGGTACGGGAAACAAACTGAAGAGAAATAGCACTGGTTATGCCTCCACCTGCACCAGAGTCAGCCAGGACCATCTCTCCAACCTTTCCTGGGGCTCTGGCAGCCTTTGCCCCTAGGGTTTGGTGTGGACATGGCAGCCTCCCTTCTCGATGGTCTGCACTGGGTGGATCGGTAGGACCAGGTGGGAGATGCGGCTCCACAGCCCACTCAGCTTGTCAGAGTCCATGTGGTCGTAGGAGCTGGGGGTCGTGGTGTTGGTGAACTTGGCCCAGAGGAAGTCGCGGACCCTCTCTTCCACCTGCTGGAGGCTGATGTGGGTCTCCAGCGTCTCCTCCTCCAGCAGCACGGTCAGCAGCAGGGCCACATCCTTGAAAGCAGCACTTTCATGGTCACAGTATTTGTAGAAGATGAGGGTGGCCCCTGCCGGCAGCAACTCGAAGCGGTGTATCACCGCAGCACGGTCCCCAGCCTGGAAAGCTGAGCTCAGCTCTGAGTCCACCTCTAGCTTGGCCTGGTCACTCTGGAGCCTGGATTTATCCGTGCCATCGATCTGGACCGTGCTGGCATGCAGGGCGGCCGAGTAGGTGTCAGCCACATGGGCACTAAGACATCGCAAGGTCCGCTCACCCTTGCGGGCAGCCGTGAAGATGATGATGGCTGGCTGTGTGTGGTGGGACACATTGAGGTGCTTCTGCAGGAACTTGCGACCACGAAGCCACAGGTGGGGACTCTGTCCCGGAAACCTGTCCTGCAGCTGGTTGAACTGGGACAGAAAGGCCTCCACCGTGGGGTTCTCGGGGGCTTGCTGGGCCTTGGAGGTTGGGTTGCCAAAGCAGAATATGCAGAAGCCGAACAATACAACGCTCACGACAACAAGGCCTGTTCAACAGAGGAGAGACCCGAGACGGGGAACAGAACTCAGTCCCAAGTGACCTGCGGTGATACACTGGACAGTAGCCACAAGGGCTCTTTTTCCCCTCCCAGGCCTTCCCCACTACCCCAGGAAAGTGATTCAGGTTGGCAATCGCTCTGGGGGACCAGGAATGATGAAGAGGCTGCTTGCCCCATGTTGTGAGACCCATGCTCCTACACAGCAGCCGGGGAGTACTACAGCTCCAGAGATGGAGGCAAGGCTACAGCTTTGTTGTCGCAGTGCAAAATTTCCTGAGGAAATTGCAGCTGGCCACAAGATTTCTCCTCTTCCCTCTGCTCTGTTTTCTTTAAGGTTTGTGGCCATTCAGAGCACCTACCTCCACATATGGAGGCGTCTGACCCAGCTAAGGTGTCCTGTTCACTGCCTTCCTCCTAGCTATGCTGGGTGAACAAAGGCTACCATGCTTCTGCCCAGGAAAGGAGGACAGCGAGGTCCAGACACAACTGCTTGCATCCCTCTCTGTTCCAAAGCAGGGTCTCTTTCTACCAGAAGAAATGTGTGGTGCAGATCAGCATCACAGTTCCTGGTTGGGGCCCCACGACACAGAGGGGGACTGGGACGCGGGACCATCAGTGTAAGAGCCTCAGATCTCCCAGGATGTGCCAGGGTACTCCCGGCATGCTGAACACAATGTACCTGGTTTTGAGGCTGGAGAGCTGAAGGAAAGGCTGCTACTATAGGCTCAAACTGAGCCTATTTTTAAGGGGATGGTTTTTCCCTCAAACCCTCAGAAAAGGCTGTGAAAGGTCCTGAGAGAGAAGAATTAAATGTGCTTCATTACTTGTTCCTGGAGGATCAGTGCCTTCTGGTCGATGAGTAACGCACAAGGGAAGCTTCTTTTCCTCACCTTTCAGCAAAAGGGACTCTTTGGCCTTCTCCTGGTCTGTGTTTTGGGTGGTGATGTTCTGCAAGCAGGACTGAGCCTCTGGCTTTGGGGCTGTGTGCCCTACCGTAAGAGAAAGAAATGTGCCACTCAATGTTGAGGGAACAGGTAAGTTGGGCCATAGTAAGAAAAGCAACAGAGCTGCCAGGAGCTCCCAGCTGC